TCCATTCACCAATAGCATCAAAAATAATAAAAGATTTAAGAATAAATTTAAGGATGATGTGAAAGACATTTACACAGAAAACGGTAAGATATTGCAAAAATAAATTATAGAATAATTTTTTTTTACCAATTTCAATTATCAACAGGCAAAATGAATTAAAGTGAAATCTTGCCCTGTAAAGTAAAAAGACTGCTTGAAATCATATTAGAACCTCAAAGGGCAGTTTTAATGAACAAATCATGCTACGTGTAGTCTTTCAGTATATTGCCATATTATAACAATTTTCAGCATAAATTTCAGTATTAAGTTTTGACACTATTTTCCAGCTTGCACACTGAGAGGGCCCCCAATGATTTCATCTTACTCACTTAAGGCAAAGAAAAGTTTGTCTAAGAAATGAGATGATTAAAACTAATCAATAAAATGTTTGTATTTACTCAGTCACTACTACCAACAACAGGAAATCCTTTGAGTTAGCTAACTCCAAAATAACGGTCCTTCCCAGTTGAAATATTATAATTCTAAGTTTGGAGCAGAATTTTTATATTCTTTGGAGAGAAAGAATAGAGTCACTAAGAAATTTTTTCCCTTTATTGTCAAGTGGAAGATGAAAGAGCTGAGGGACACTTGAGAAGCCAAGCTGACCAGTGGAGACGTTCAGTGGCCCTGATCCAAGCCCAGCCCAGGGCAAGTGCGATCCTTGCATGGACAGTAATCACAAGAAGGTCATGTGCTGGGAGGGGGCAGTGGGACCACAGCCACCTTAGCTGGAGGCCTAAAGACAAAGTTAACAGGTATGCAGCTCCAAGGTAATTTCCTTAAAAGCGAGAATAACTAAGGACAGATTCACAGAGAATAAAGTGAACAAAAAACAGGGAGTAATTGATAACAATAGAAATCTGACAAAAGAAAGCACCCATCTATATTATATCTTTCCCTAAAGTACATAAAAGCAGTTGTTAGGCAATAGTAAAATAACTTACACTGTTATTTGATAGGCTTTAATTTTCAGAGAAAAAAAGCCTATTGGATCCGTAACTTGAAATTTGCCATGGTGTAATCCTTAACAGACGGCCTTGTAATGATTTATACTGAAAGATTTAGCATAAGTAAAGTTCTTGGAACAGTGCCTAGCACATTGTAGCACCATACAAGCATTAGTTCTCTTTATCGTTATACTATCATTTTAGAAATTTTTTTGTTGTCTGCAAGCTGGCATCTGACAAAAATTTTCTGAAGTAGGATAACATACAACATGCTGGTTAAGAAAAATATTGTCCTTTGGATGATTATAACAGCACGTGACTCAAAACTCTGCTTCATGTCTCCCTGACAAAAGCTTTAAGGTTTTAAAGCTGGCTTAAAAGACTGTGGGCAAGCAGATTCTGCCTGTGCATGTGCTCCCTTTTGCTTCCTTTGGTCAATGTAGCCAGAATTCTGTAAAAGAAAGGCAGCTCTTACTCCTGTGACTAATGATAAAAATGACAAGCAATAGGATATATTGGAGTATATGAGGAGGCCATTTGGTGTAAAGCTGATTTGGCCTAACTTTATTTTTCTTTTTTCAAAAGGGCCAGACATGGCCATGGAGCATGCATCGTGTATCTGCTTTAAGCATTTCCTATGTCCCAAAGGTAAAAACAAATACCCTTAAGATAAAGGTGCAACTTCCCCCACATTGGCATTTCCTTAAGGATAAGCATCTCTCCCTAGACTAGGAATTGACTGCTATGCTCACCTGTGACCACCCAGCTCACCTGTGACCACCTAGATGGAGACAACAGAGTTGCTTCCTGTGCCATCAGGGCAATCTCATGACTATTGTAAAAGGGATATTTCAATCACGTGTGATGCATGCTCTTTGACAGTATATAACCACTCTTTACACCCCCACTTCTTTGGAGTGCTCCATTCCTTTGTGGAAGGACTCTCCCAGACTATACGGTCCTCACATTTGGCTCAGAATACACTCAACCCAATTTTGATCTATAGATTGATTATGGGTTATTTGCATAAACACTAACAGAACGAATGACACCCACTCCTGGAGACACAGCCCTCTCTGCAGAAGTGCATGGTGGCAAGGAGGAGCAGAGTAACAGCAAGACACCATAGGGCCAATCCTTGTTGCCTTACTCCCTTCCCAGGAGTTCCCAATCTGGCTTAATTTACGTTCCCAGTCTGTCTTTTTTGACTCAGCAAGGAACTGTACTGGCCATAAAGTGTTCAGAATGTACCAAACTAAAAAGGCATATTATAAAATAATATAGAGAGAGCCTCAATTTTAAAGAAAACATGTAAATATACACATATGTTTACACTGAAAAGTATGGAAGGGATTTGCTGCCAAGTTTTTAATGGTCGTCACCAGATGGTGAAATTATGAGTAATTTTTCTTTTCTTTTTGTTTTTTTAAAATATCTGATGTTTTGATACTTTCAACATGAAACATGTATTAGTTTAGAAAGGAGAAAACAAAATAGCAAAAAGTTATTTGGAAAAAATAGTTTGATTTTTTTAAAGACTGGAGAAGTTCTGCATATGCACTTACCAGTCTTGTCTTAAATATTTATTTGGCGTTAGAAATTTTTATCAAGATTAATATTGTAATCATAATGCAAAGCATAAGGCCCAACTATGTTGAAAGGGCAGGTATAAACACATGTTCAGTCTAGATCAGAAGGGATAAGACAAAAGGCTTATTTTCAGGTGCTTGAAACACCATTCCTTTTGGAAATGGCCTTAAACATCTTGCTCATTTAGGGGGCACCACGGTCTTCTGATAAGAGCTGAACTTTGACCAAAACTAGCAGCTTAGCAACCACATCCTGTCAAGGTACAGAAAATTCCATCCCCCTGGAAAGTTCCCTCACACCTCTACCAGGTCAATGCCCATCTCAAGAAGCAACTACTGCTCTGGTTTCTGGCTCCACAGATTAGTTTTACCTCTTTTAGAACTTTACAGAAATAGACATTTTTGAATGATGAAATTGGCTCCTTGCAAACTAGAGTTAAGAGGTCTTGAAGATTATCTTTACAAATGATTGAAGAAAACCTTCTAGTTTGGGAAGTCTAGCTAGTTACAATGAGATTAGTCTCATAACTCAATCATCAAATGCTACTACATTTATACAGCAGAAAAATAAGACACAGGCATCCTACATCTAATAATCTTAGAAAAAATAAATTGTCACTGGGGAGTCTGGATGTGATTTGCTTCTGCTTCTTTTTAAGGAAACAAGTCACATAACAGTTTTATATAAACCTTACTGGAATTTGGGGGTTTGTTTCCTTATAGAAAATAATAATAATTAAGATATATGAGGACTTCTTGCAGGAGTTGAGGGAATTTCTTATATCCTAGAACCTTCTTTGAAGATCTGCTTACTCTTTCATCTACGTGTTTATTCAGTAAATATTTACTAAACAATTAACTACTGCATACCAAGGCCTGGGCTAAGAATTAAGGGAAAGGTGCAGAAAAAAAAAAAAACACCCTCAAGGATCTTTCATTCCACCTGTTTAGATGTCCATGTCCTGGTCCCCAGACCTGTGATTATAGAAGTTAAATGGAAAGAGAGACTTTGAAAATATGATTAAGTTAAGGATTTTTAAAAGGGGAAGTTATCCTAAATTATCCAGGTGGGTCAAATGTAATCCCGAAGTCCTTATGAGAGGGAGGAAGAAAGCTCAGGGTAGGTGGGAGAAGACAAGCATGAGGATGAGTGATGGGAGGATGGTGTCAAGAGCCAAGGAATGCAGGCAGCATCTAGAAGCTGAAAAAGGCAGGGAATGAATTCTCTCCTAGAGCCTCCAGAAGGGAGCAGCCCTTCCAACACCTTGATTTTAGCTGGATTTTAGCTCAGTGGAACCGATATCCCCATATGTTATCTTAAGAAATTCATGCCAAAGTATCAGTGGATTTCTCTTGGAGAGGAGCTGGCAAAAGGTTAAAGGATGATGCCACTTCTCATTTCATACACTTCAAGACAGAAGGAAGGAAAAGTGATGACAATAATTTGACTATTTTAAATATTCAGGGGCCAGCCCCGTGGCCAAGTGGTTAAGTTCACTCACTCCGCTTCGGCGGCCCAGGGTTTCACCGGTTCGGAACCCTGGGCGCGTACATGGCACTGCTCGTCAGGCCACGTTGAGGTGGCATCCCACATGTCACAACTAGAAGGACCCACAACTAAAATATACAACTATGTACTGGAGGAATTTGGAGAGAAAAAAGCAGAAGAAAAATAAAATATTCAGTTGTCTCTATGCTTTAGAGATGACATGAGACTAAAGACTTCAGCATCATAGCATCAAACTGCCATCACACTAATGTTAAGTATAAAACAGAGCAGTGGAAAGTAGAAAAAAAATACAATCTGGTGACGCCTTCCAGGGATTTTGTTCTTGTTCGGGGAGAAAAGAAAAACACTTAGAATACGGGACTAGCAACATCAAAGCATAGTTAATAACTCTAAGTTTAAACACAAAGTAAAAAGAATATTTCAAGTCTTTTAGTATTCACCACGACACCAAAGCAGAGGAACGAATCCTAACATTGACTATTCATTCCTCCCTATTGCTGATCTTCTCACTGTTTCCCCAGAGGTTAAAGCTGCTTCTGGACACAATTTTTCTCACTTTCAAATCCAAACCTCAAGTAACTCTAGGTGACATTCAGCCAAAAGAGCTTTTCTGCCCTCTTCCCCTGTGTCCCTCTCTGTGCTTATCATTATGAGGATTAGAATGGCCTCTCTGGACTCTGTTTTCTTCCATTTCTTACCTGCATTAAGCACAAAAAAAGGAAAGTCTAAGAACTGACTCAGCAACCAATAATGCTTTTTATTTAGAATATGCAGAGGACAAATGGTTGTGTATTGGCTTCTACTAATCATTTTGTTTGTTTCACAGTGATAACATATTAATAACTCAATATTAGAGAAGTACTAGCATATGGTGGTCAATACAAGTATTACAAAAAATAAAGAATAGCACATACATTTAGGTGGTGAAACTCTCCTTTAATGGCGGTTGGCTGTTCACTGGATATTGAGGGAATGGGGAAATATGAAATGAGAGGTCAGAGAAGGCATTCCTGGGAAGGGGGTGAATAATGCCCCAGAGGAGGAGGATTGTAGATGGCAGCACATCAGCAGCTGGATGATCGGCCCTTCCTCACACAGGAATAAAGCAGAGCTGGTATGAGGGTGGCACATGGCCAAACCCACTGGCAGCTGGGGTGGTGTCGATATCCTTTGGGTCAACCACAGATTTTAGGGTAAATTTCTGTAAAATGGTGGTCAGAAATAAAAACAGCTCCATGCGGGCTAGACCTTCTCCCAGACACATTCGTTTTCCTGAAAATAACATAGAGAATTTGTTCCTTGAACATTATGCTTTGAACAGTCACAAAAAGTATGCAGTAACTATTTGATAAATGACTGAATAGATAGAGGGCTAGAAGGAGAGTTAGAGAGACAGATGCATAGAAGGATGGACGCACTTGCTATTCACCTAATATCTTAGTGGGAGACCTTCGTTCAACAAATATCTGCTGAGTATCAGCTCTACACCAAGCACTTTATTACATATTCCCACATTATAACTGCTCTTTTGACATTTCCAGTTTCCATCAATCTTTGTAGAAACATACCTATTTTTCTTGTCCAAGTGGGTAGAAGGCAGAAGGACTGAGGGCAGGGAACTCATATATCTGTTTCCCTTTCTATCTTGGGCACAAAATGCAGCCAAATTTTTTTCTTTCATGTGCTTTCAAAAGCACGTGTCTAAGTGTGTCACTCTCTCACTTTAAAATATTAAATGTCTTCCCCATCTGTCCTATGAGATGAGGTCCAAATGGGTTGAACTTCACATTTTGTGAGGTTCACATTTTGTTCCCAGTCTGATGTTCCATATCATTCCTTCCATTCTCCACACCATCCGCTCTCAGATCTAGCCAAATCCACTCTTCATCACTCTCTAACACACCATAAAGTTTCCAGCTTTATCTCATGCTGTTCCATTTGGTTAAGGTGCACTTCTCTTATTCTTCCTTCAAGACCTATGTCCCATGTCGTTTCCTCTTTATTATCCTTGTGATCCTCTCAAGCAGTAGAATTTTGCCCTCTCTGGGTTTCCTCAGCATCATATTCACACTTCATTTGAAGCATGGATCACCTTGAATCATAATTCTCTGTTTATTTATTTTTCTACCATGCTAAAATGTGTGTTCCTTGAAGAGAAGGCTCAGGCCTTAACATCTTGGTATGTACAGTGCAAGACCCAAAGCAGTCACCAAGGTCACTGAATAAATGAGGATGACTCTGTGGCCAGAGATTCAACACACACACTGTAGCTGTGGAGACCCAATATCCATGATGTATGATATGAGTGGAGGAAGATCAAGGTGCTCTGGAACCACTGCAGAGTATCCTGCCACAGTCCCAAGATTTCCCTGATGCAACACTTGGTTGGCAGGTTCTGACCTCCTCGACTTTCAGGAAACGTCCTGCTCCTGTGGTCCACTCCGTAAAAGTGCCCTGCCTTCTCTTCTTTCTTTGCTCCCCATCCCTTGTGAGGCAGCTCAAATTTCCTTTCTGCTGTTAGAATGTTTCTTATTCCATTTTATGCCACACTGTGGGGTATGAACGAGCAGGAAGCAGGCAGCTTCCCCTTCTGGTCTCCTGAGTAGCCTGTGTTTTCCTCTCCCACGGCACTAGTCTTACTGGATTACAATGATCTGTTTACTAATCTGCTTCCCTAACCAGAGTGTGAGCTAGTGCTCCCTAACTTTGGTGTTCATTCTGTGCTTGTGGATACCTGCAACCCGAGAGCTCAGTCTGGGGAATGAGGGATATCACATAGAAGATACTCAAAGTGGTGGAGTTACATACATTTCTCACGGAAGGCGAGGAAAATCTAAATGAGTTTCACCTTCTAAGAGGAGTTCTTGGTGATATATTAGTTATCAATATATTGGTGATTAGCTCAGTGACATATATACAGGCAGAATTCAATCTATTTGCTAACTTTTTCACATTCAAAGAACTGGGTCAGCTCCCCAAAGTTCCAATAATGGGGATGTATGAGGGTTGGGGGAGCGCATGGTCATTGGGAGTGGCGCTCATGATCATAGACAAAGAGCAGTTCTACCAGGCCCAGCGTGGACACCACGTAAGTTCCAATTGATCCCATGAAGGTAACCTGTCCCCTGAAGTACCGAAGGAAATACATTTTTATTACCTGCTGAGAAAGCCATGAAGTAGTCGCTCTTCTTAAAGTTGCCACTCTCATCCAGGAAGTGGCCAGGATCAAACACCTCTGGGTTGTGGAATTCTTTAGCATCGTACAGCACGGAAGTCAGTGATGTTAATATGGTCGTGCCCTGGAAAGAACAGATGAAGATACACTGAGTTATAAAGAAGTCATGGAGCTGGAAGGAAGGTTGCGAATCATTTAGTCCAATCTTCTGATCTATTGATGAGGAGTCCTGGGTCCAAAGAAGGACAGCGGCATTGTGAGCCAGACAGAAAAGCAACACGCAGGACAAGTTCAAGACCAGTGGCGGCGATGTTGCTAAAGTTGCCTTCAATAGCATTTGAAATACTGAGTACTTGGTTACTTGGGTACCAGATTTCTGAATCCCCTCTACCCATCACGACGTTTGAACACTGGTGTCTGTCCCACCCTCTGCTCTATTTCACCACTTCGGTTTTCATACATCTCATATGTGGATCATGGTTTAAAATGGAAGCCTCTTCTGACTCTTGAAGAGTCAGGAATATTTGGAATCTGTTCATAGGGCTTTTCTAAATAGAGGTCTGATCTGATTAAAAATGACTTCTGGCAAGGGGCTGGCCTCGTGGCCGAGTGGTTGAGTTCACGCGCTCCGCTGCAGGCGGCCCAGTGTTTCGTTGGTTCAAATCCTGGGTGTGGACATGGCACTGCTTATCAAACCACGCTGAGGCAGCGTCCCACATGCCACAACTAGAAGGACCCACAACGAAGAATACACAACTATGTACCGGGGGGCTTTGGGGAGAAAAAGGAAAAAATAAAATCTTAAAAAAAAAAAAATGACTTCTAGCAAATCCATACAGACAGAAATAGCTTAGTGGTTGTCAAGGGCTGGAGGGAGGGAGAAATGGGAAATGATTGCTTGACAGGTAGGGGATTTTCTTTTGGGTTGACGAAAATGTTATGGAAATAGTAGCTATGGTTGCACAACCTTGTTAATGCACTAAATTTCATTGAATTGTACACTTTAAAATAGCTAAAATGGTAAATTTTATGTGTATTTTACCACAATAAAAAAGAAAATTTGCCCAAGAAAAAAATGACTTCTTAAAAATTATCAACAAGTACACTAACAACTACTGAGCATTTATTTTTGGGATGTAATTGGTCTCTCTCAATTTAAAAATATGGGGGGGCCGGCCCCATGGCTAAGTGGTTAAAGTTCCATGCGCTCTGCTTCAACAGCCTGGGGTTCGCATGTTCGGATCCTGGTGTGGACCTACTCCACTCATCAGTGATGCTGTGGAGGCATTCCACATGCAAAGTAAAGAAAGATTGGCACAGATGTTAGCTCAGGGAAAATCTTCCTCCCACACACACAAAACTACATATATAGGGAACTCTTCATTGTGGATGAATCCTAGCTTTAAAACACACACACACACAGATGGCAAAATTAGAAAAATTACCGTTTTTCAACAATTCAGGTAAAGATCGTCAATTAGTGCTAAAACTGTTAGATGAATGATTCAGGAAACAGGATATTCACAAAGTCTTAAAATAGCATGCTATACACTTTTATTAATTACCTAAGTAAAAAAGAACCTCACTAATGGAGAGAGAGGGCACACACTTCTTTAATAAGTGATTACATTGGCATCACCAGTAATGAAATAAACTGACATTACTTGTCTCCAGCCAAAATGTGGTACATTGGGACATACACAACATCATCTATGTAGCTTTCCTGCCAAAAACACAGTACTGGAATCTAATCTCAAGAAAACAATCACACAAAACCAGACTGAGGAACTTTTACATGACAACTGTCTTGGTCTCTTTAAAACTGTCGACGTATTGAAATGAAACAAATAAACAAAGGAAAAAGAACTATTCTTGATAACAGGGGACAAAAAGGACAAATAATCACATTATATATTTGTTCCTTGATTGGATACTAGATGCCCCCTCAAAAAAAGCTATAAAAGATCTTTTAGGATAATTGAGAAAATGTAATTATAGGCTATATATTAAAGCTATTGTGAAGATGATAACTCCTTGAGTGAGAACGCTATTATTACTATGCAAAAGGAAGTCCTTGTTATTAGAAGATACATACTGAAGTATTTAGGTGTTAAGTGCGGTAGGTAGATGATAGATAGATAGATTGTTAGATGCAGAGAGATATGTAGTTAAAATACAGATATATACACATTTTCATATATTATATATACATATATATTTCTGTTGTGTGTTTGTTTTAAATGTTATTCAGATTTCTAATGTTTTTTTAATTTAAAATTGGGAGAAAATTCCATCCCTTAAGTTCACTATAATTTTGTTTTTAAAGTTATTGCCTTGTATATTTTAAAACAACTAATACATGAAAATGCTACTTTAAGATTTAAAAAGCAGGTATATTTTCAGTAAGTGGTGTGGGTACAAGTGGATATCCATAAAGAAAAGAATTGAAGTGTCATCATTACGCCACACCATAGGTGAAAATGAACTTTAAATGGATCATAGACCCAAATATAAAAGCTAAAAGTATAAAACTTGTAAAAGAAAAGATAAGTGTAAATATTTGGAAACTTGAGCTTGAAAATAATTTTTAAGATAGGCCACAAAAGCACAAATCATTAGAGAAATAAAAACTTGTATACAAATGTTCATAGCACCTTTATTCAAATAGCCCAAAACTGGAAACAACTCAAATATTCATCAGTCAACAGATAAATAATTTGTGGTACCTCATACGATGGAATACTACTCCTCAAATAAAAAGCAACAAACTAATGACACATGCAATAACAAAGATGAACCTCAAACACATTCCGCCACATAAAAAGCAGAGAGAAGGGTTTATATTGATTACGTGTTATTCCATTCATGTCAATCCATCATATTGCATTCCCGAAAAGGCAAAACTATAGGACCAAAAGCAGATCAGTGGCTACAAAGGACTGAAACTGGGGGAATGGATTGGTTGCAAAAGGAGAAGGAAGGAACTTTTTGAGATAATGGAAATGTTTTATGTGTTAGTTGTGGTGGTACCTACATAACTTCACATACTGGTCAAAACTCATTAGACTTTACAGTTAAACAGGTGAATTTGCTTTTAGATAAGTTATACCTCAAGTTAAAAACAAAGTGTTACGTTAAGTCACAAAAAGCAATGTGGTGAAAAGTCACTCTCCCTCCCATTTAATCACACAAATCCACTTAGACTTTTCAAAAGCAACCATTCCCACCAACTAGTTAAATGTCCTTCCAGAGAATATGTCCTTCCTCTCAGAAATATTAAGCTAATCAGACAGATAAACCTATCTACTTTTATGCCACTTACCACTCTCTTCTTTTTTTTATCCAAATGACAAGCATCCCCTGCATCTTGATATTTTTATTTAATAAAATAACTTAGATACAGTCCCATATCAACACATACACATCTGCCTTATTCATGCTACATAATGTGAATGTGCCCTTATGCTACTGATGAACATTTAGAGAATTCAAAATATTTTTATTACAAGCAATGATGCAAGGAGAATTTTTTTGGACATTCCTTCATTAGCACTTGTAATAGATATCAAGAATTTTAATTCTTGCATTTTAAGATATTATATTTTATATTTTAATGGATATTGCCAAACTGTCCTCCAAAAAAAATGGACTTATTTATAATCCTGCCAGTCGCACTTGCAAGTACTTGTTTACACATATCCTCATCAACACAACATTTTCTCAGCCTTTGACTTCATCTCTCTGATAGATGAAAATGTTGTCTCATAGTTTTAGCATATGTATTTTGGGTATGTCACCTAGTTTAATTCCTGCAACATTCTATTGAAGTAGAAAAGTTTCAACAGTTTACAAGTGAGAAAACTGAGGCTCATGGGGTTAAAAACTTTATTCAAGATTATAGCTAAGAGTAGCAGAACCAGAGTTCATGCTGAGTTCCTCCTGAATTTGCATCCTGCTGCCATGCATTTCTGAATACCTACCGGAATTTTCCATTTTTAGGACACATTTGACAGAGGCAGTACCTGATTCTTTTAGAAAAGCCAAAAGGGGAATATCCCTCTGCACACGTGACACTCCCACCCCTCTGCCCTAAGCATGCAACTATGATTCTGATCATCTGTTTTCCTGGCTGGGAAATAAGAACTTGCAAACCATAAAGAGACATAATCTGGGCACATGAAACACAAATGGTCATTCTGCAACCAGAGGAAGTCATCCTTCCCCAAAGTGACTTCATCAACTATTTCAAAATTATGTGTAGGAGGACCATTTTAGCCTCTTGCTATTTTTCTGCTTCAGCCCATAAAATAGGAGCATTTGTCTTCTTAGAGGTGTAAGTACACAATCCTTTGTCTGAAACCATGGAGCCAAATGTATTTTCATATTTAGAATTGTTTGAAATTTTACAAAGATATTATGATCTATATGGCGTAAAGTTTATGACATCGCCAATAATGTGACAAATACCAAACAATCAAGCGCATTGCTATTTCTTTAGCAAAACATGAATAGTCACACACAGTGGCATAAATAAGGAATATAAATAGATTTATTTCAGTTCAAGTAAGGTTTTGGCCCCTGAATGAAATTGCACCAAACTTACCTTTGTTTTAAATTTTCCCAGTTCTGAGTATTGCAAAATTAAGGATGAGGGGTTTCTAAACCCACATTACAGAAAAAACCTTAGATCAGCTCTGTCCAACACAGCCTTGAATGATCCAAGGTTATTTACACTTAAATTAAAGCTAATTAAAAGTAAATAAAATTTAAAATTCAGTTCCTCAGTTGCATTAATCACATTTCAGGTGTTCCATAGGCACATGCTGCTAATAGCTACCATGTGAGGCAACACAGATATTCAGAATCCTCTCTCCCCCAGAAGATGGCAGTAGTAATTTCAACCTTAATAAACTCTCAACTCTTGTCCCCTCAAAGTAGAATTTTCAGTTTTTTCAAAAAATAATAGCAGTATGTGCAGGCTTCGAATGGGAATATTTTGTAGGATACTAACTAGAAAGTCTGAATAAATAGAGAAACCATGTGTCACAAAGCATTGGAAAGCTGCTGAGACAAAAATTAGTCTCCAGATTCCAGAGATGGAAGATCCTTGGAAAGGTAAGCCAATATCTACAGTCAATTTTCAACTGCGTTAATAACCAATTCTGAAATGGAGCAGAAGGCATTACATAATTCTGTCTGCCTAGTGAGGGAATGAACACTTTCTGGAAGAAGATAAATATCACCTGAGACTTCATTTTTTAATGTAATATCTGCACTTAACAAAAACTTATTAAGCACACTAAAGACAGAACTAAGTGAACACAAAAAGAGAAAGAGGCAATAAACTATATAAGGCAATAAAATATACCCAAGGTCAGAAAAATTACCCACCTTTTTTTATGAGGCCAGCATTACCTTCATTTCAGAAGTCTGACAAGAAAATATTGAGGAAGAAAAATTGTACATCAAAGTCTCTTATGAATATAAATACAAATATTCTCAATAAAATGTTGCAAACAAAACTCAGCTGTGTATATGTGAGAGAGACAGAAACAAAGATAGAGATCAAAATACATGCCATATAAATAGATGCAGAGAATCCATTTGATCAAATTGTACACACATTTATGACAAAATAATTATATAGGTTGCCAAGAGCAGGGGAGATGGAGAAATGATGAGTTCCTAATCAACCAGTATAGAGTTCCAGTAATACAAGATGAATACGTTCTAGAGATCTGCTGTACAACATTGTGCCCATAGTTAACAATATTGTATTGCAATTTAAAAATCCATTAAAAGGATAGATCGCAGTTTAAGTGTTTTTACCACAATAAAATTTTTAAATTTCATTTTAATTTCTAAAAATTGAAAGAAGTACCAATTTGCTACAATCTCTTTCAGAAGGTAGAAGCAGAAGAAATACTTCCTAACTCAATCTATAAGTCCAGCATTACCCTAATATCAAAACCAGACAAAGACATCACAAGAAACGAAAACTACAGACTAATATCTCTCAGAAACAGAGGCCACTGGGGCTGGCCCCATGGCCGAGCGGTTAAGTGCGCGCGCTCCACTGCAGGCGGCCCAGTGTTTCGTTGGTTCAAATCCTGGGCGCGACATGGCACTGCTCATCAAACCACGCTGAGGCAGAGTCCCACATGCCACAACTAGAAGGACCCACAACGAAGAATATACAACTATGTACCGCGGGGCTTTGGGGAGAAAAAGGAAAAAATAAAATCTTTAAAAAAAAAAAAAAAGAAACAGAGGCCAGCCCAGTGGCATAGTAGTTAAGTTCACACACTCTGCTTCAGCAGCGCAAGGTTTGTGGGTTCAGATCCTGGGTGTGCACCTACACACTGCTCATCAAGCTATGTTGTGACAGTGTCCCACATACAAAACGGAGGAAGACTGGCACAGATATTAGCTCAGGGATAATCTCCCTCAAGCAAAAAGAGGAGGATTGGCAAGAGATGCTTAGCTCAGGGCCAATCTTTTCACCAAAATAGTAATTTAAAAAATCTCTCTCAGAAACATACATATAAAAATGCTCAACAAATATAACTTAGCAAATGCTTAGCAACTATAACTCAATAGTGTATTTTTGAAAATTATACACGGACCAAGTGAGATTTATCCCAGGCATGCAGAGCTAGTTCAACATTTAAAAACCAATTAATGCAATCCATTACGTCAACAGGCTAAAGAAGAAAAATCACACGATCATGTCAATAGATGCTGAAAAAACATTTGACAAAATCCAATACCCATTCATGATAAAAACTCTCAATAAACTAGAAACACAAGCGAACTTCCTCAACTTGATAGAGAATATCTACAAAAGCCCTATAGCTAACATCAAATTTAGTGAGAAACTCAAAGAATTCCCACTCACATCAGGAACAAGGCTAGGATGTCTCATCTCACCTCTGCTTTTCAATATCATGCTGGAAATCTTACCTAACGAAATAAGACAAGAAAAGGAAATAAAAGGTATACAGATTGGGGAAAAAGAAATAAAACTATCTTTGTTCATAGATGCCATAATCATCTACGTGGAAAATCCAAAAGAATTTTTAAAAAATTCCTGGAACTAATGAACAATTATACCAAGATTGCGTGATACAAGGTTAATATACTAAATTCAATCATTTTCATACATATCTGAAATGAACAATTGGAATTTAAAAGTAAAAACACAATGCCACTTACATTAGCATCCAAAAAATGAAATATTTAAGTATAAATATAACAAAATATGCATAAAATCTATAGAGGAAACCACAAAACTCTGATGGAAAAAATCAAAGATCTAAACAAATGGAGAGATATTCCATGTTTATGGGTAGGAAGACTTAATATTGTCAACATGTCAGTTCTTCTTGACTTAACCTACCAATTCAATGTCATCTAAATCAAAATCCCAACAAGTTTTTGTGTGGATATCAATAAAGTAATTCTAAAGCATATATGGAAAGGAAAAAGCTCAGTGGAACAGAACAGAGAGCCCAGAAATAGACCCACATAAATAAATTTGGCTGATCTTTGACAAAGGAGCAAAGGCAGCCAAATGGAGAAAATATAATTTTTTCAAAGAATATTGCAAGAAATCTGGACGTCCACAAGCAAAAAGATGAATCTCACACCCTTCACAAAATTTAGCTCAAAATAGATCACAGACCCAAATGTAAAACACAAAACTATAAAACTACTAAAAGATAAAACAGGAAAATATCTAGATGACCTTGGGTTTGGCAATGACTTTTAAAAATTTCTGCTCTGTGACAGACATTTTCAAGAGAACGAAAAGACAAGTCACAGACTAGGAGAAAATATTTACAAAAGACATGTCTGATAAAGAATTGTTATGCAAAATATACAAAGAACTCTTAAAACTCAACAATAAGAACTCAAACATAATTTAAAAATGGGAAAAAGATCTGAATAGACCCCTAATCAAAGAAGATATACAGATGACAAATAAGCATATGAAAAGATGCTCCACATCATACATCATCAGGAGAATGCAAAATAAAATAACAATGAGATACCACTTTGCACCTTTTAGGATGGCCATAATCCGGAACACTGACAATATCAAATGCTGACAGGGTTGTGGAGCAACGGGACCTCTTATTCATTGCTGGTGGGAATACAAATGATAGTGCCATTTTGGAAGACAGTTTGGCATCTCTTACAAAACTAAACATACTCTTACCACGTGATTCAGCAATCACATTCCTTGTTATTTACCTAAAAAAGCTGAAAACTTATGTCCACACAAAAATCTATACATGGACATTTATAGAAGCTGTATTCATAATTGCCAAAACTTGGAAGCAACCAAGATGTTTTTCACAAGGTAAATGAATTAAAAACTGAGTTGTATTCAGACAATGAAATTTTATTCAGCACTAAAAAGAAATGAGCTATCAAGCCATGAAAAGACATGGAGGAAACAAATGCATATTACTAAGTGAAAGAAGCCAATGTGAAAAGGCTACATACTATATAATTCCAACTGTACGATATTCTGGAAGAGGCAAAACTACAAAGACAGTAAAAGGATCAGTGGTGGTTAGGGGTTTTGGGGGAAGGAGGGATGAACAGACAGAGCACAGAGGATTTTTATGGCAGTGAAACTACTCTGTACGATACTACAATTATGGGTACATGTCATCATACACTGTCCAAATCCATAGAATGTACAATGCCAAGAGTGAAGCCTAATGTAAATGAAGAGCTTTGGATAATGATAACATGTCAATGTAGGCTCATCAATTGTAACAAATGTACCATTCTGGTAGAGGATGCTGATAATGGGGCATGCTATACATGTGTGGAGGCCGGAGGCATATGGGAAATCTCTGTACCTTCTGCTCAATATTGCTGTGACCCTGAAACTGCTCTAAAAAATAAAGCCCATCAGAGAAAATCATACGAAAATAAGAGAAGAGGAAATATTTTCCTAAGCTTATTTTTTTAATATTTACAAAAATATACACAAATTGGGGCTGGCCCCGTGGCTGAGTGGTTAAGTTCGCGCACTCCGCTGCAGGCGGCCCAGTGTTTCGTTGGTTCGAATCCTGGGCGCGGACATGGCACTGCTCATCAGACCACGCTGAGGCAGTGTCCCACATGCCACAACTAGAAGAACCCACAACGAAGAATACACAACTATGTACTGGGGGGCTTTGGGGAGAAAAAGGAAAAAATAAAATCTTAAAAAAAAAAAAATTATATAAAAAAAAATATATATATATACACAGATTATCGTTCCCAATGATGAGACATTAAACCCCACCCCTTCCTGGATATCAGAAGTGAAACAAGATGTTCACTATCACCACTTCTATTCAAAACTATCTGGAAATCCAGCCAGTGTGCTAATACAGTAAAGATAAATTAAAGTCATGAGAATTGCAATATAAAAAATAAAGCAAATATTAAGCCATATCGCAGAGCTGTGTACACAGAAATTATAAATGAATCCACAAATAAATTATTAGCAATGATAGGTGAATTTGGAAAAGTTTCTAGACACAAGGTGACCAAAATAACACAATCAATTATATGTGATAACCAAAAAGTACAAAAGGCATTTTTAAAATTATACAATGTATAAAAACATCAAAAATATAATTTATCTAGGAAAAACGTAATAGATGCGCAAGCCACTGTACTGAAAACAAAACAATATTGAAAAAGTAAAAGAAAGTCCAAATAAATTGTGAGAATGTACTATAGCCCTGAAGTGAAAGATTCAAGATGTCCATTTTTTCCCAAATTAATTTAATATTACTCTGATAAATCACAGCTGAGTATTTTGCGTAATTGACAAACTAATACTAAAATTTATGTAGAAATGTAAACAGCTAAGAGTAGTCAAAACCATATTAAAGAAGCAGAACAAATTTGGAAGACTTATACAGCCAGATATCAAGACTTGTCATCAAGCTTTACAGCACCAACTGGCAAGAACACAAACTTCATCAAGCTGCCACACATGATTTTTGCTCTTCTCATATCTTGGCGTCAGTAGAGGATTGAAACCATATTGTGAATATGGGAACTACAAGAGCACTGAGGTCAGTGTAGGAGAAACAAATCTTACCTTGGGGATGATATAGTTTCTAAATTTAACGTCACAGGTCACTGCATGAGGCAGGTTGGTGGGGACGATGTCAGTGTATCTCTGAATCTCGTGTATCACGGCATCCATGTAGGGCATGTGGCTCCTGTCCTGCATGCTGGGGCTCCGGTGTCTACCAATCACACGGTCAATTTCTTCCTGAACTTTAGCTGGTAAGACACAAGTAAGACTGATAGAAAAAGAAGAGAAGAATGCATAGCACATTTGCATTCCAACTCAGGGTTACATGAAGCACTATGAAGGTGTGCCAACAGCATTATAAACATAAGTTATATGCCCAGAAGTACACCTAGACGTGGAGTTGCCACCATATAGATGCATACAACTCTCATACAAGCAAGGCGTTGAGATACATTTGCGCACACCTATACAGGATAATCAATACAAGCAGAAATGATGAAATGCTTCAAAATATAAGTACACTATTTAACTTAAGAAATTACTGTCCTTGCAGAAAGAAAAACAGGAATCAAGTATTAATTTCATATAATATATGATGTTTTAAAAACCAAATTCTATTAACTGATGTATATATGTGTATGGTTTGTGTGACTATATGTGTGCTGTGTGTGTGTGTTTCTGCAACTTGCAATGATATCTTTTCTCATCCTCACATTCCCCAAAAGTGGCCACTTTGAAACATTCTGGCAGTTTCTTCTGAAATGTATGTTTCTTATTTCTATAGTGATTATTTCTTGATTTATCCATTTTTTAGACACTGTCTAATGACTTTTTCTGGTAAGAGATGTGAGGACTTACATCTTAACCATCATCCCATACAAAATACCTATACCTACAAACAGATGCACACACACACTTCCCCTCACCACATTTCCCCCAATATATTTATATAACGATTTTGATCATATCAGTATGCACTGTTTATATCATTAAGATTATAATAAATATTGTACAAGTAAGAAAACTATGATTATGTTTGATCTTTTGTACATTTGTGGGCTTATAAGTGCTTATTTCAATTCCTAATTTTTAGATGCCCATTTAGAGCTATTGCAAATGCTCAGGTGGATGCTTCAAACTCCCAGAAATAATTTTCTAATTACTGGAAAATCTCAAAAAATCAATCATTTCTCTTTTGTTCTTAGTGTCTCCTCATTTCTGCTTTATCCATGTGGTCTATTTTGAAATACACGTTTTCTAACCCTGGTGCCCAGCACCCTCCCTGAAACTTCCATTCTCCTCCATGAGTTCTCCTGAGTCCTGGAGCCCATGGCTTCCTCTGATTTGATTTTAGATATTTGGAAGGAGCATATCCTTCAATATCATTCTGAGAGGATAAAAACAGATATTACTTTTTGCCAATTTATAGATCTGAAAATATCCTCTAACTATTAATACTAAGGATGATCTTTTACTCTTGAGAATTATAATGCTATATATGACCTGATTTATGTCTGAAAGTTTTTATGAATTTCTCTTCAATCCTGGTGTTCTGAAGTGCCATGACCCTCTGCCTTGGGGCAGGTATTACTACGTTCACTTTGCTGGGCATATGGTGAGAATTTTCCATCTAGATGGCAGAAGATGGAGATCTTTTCTCTGCTGCTGTTCATTCTCTGGAGTATATATCTGGCTGCTGAATTTTAGGAACAGGATGGAGAAAGGAGCTAAGGGTCTCAGAATTCAAATGGACTCCTACTTAGTCTGTTTTTTCAGCCATGCACCTCACACTTTCCATGTTACTGCCCAGTGTCCCTGAGTGTAGGGCCTCTTAGGTTCCATTTCTGTAGAGACTAAGCCTGCCTTTCCTGTGTAGGAAAAACTGTTATCTGCTGCTACTTCTCCACAAGAGAAGTTGTCGAGGGAACCTGGGCAGGGAGAGTCTGCTGTTTTCTGCTCCATTCTTCCTATACCTTCTTTGACAATTGGTTCTTCCAATACTGAACCTACGTGGATATAGGGGCATGAATTTGCTTGTTTACCCATGATAAATCTTCCTTTTTTGACACTTATGTAATGACTTCAATCTCTCTACTGAGTTGGTTATCAGCCCTACATCTGCTCTCTGTTTCGGAAATTTGCTAAAGACTTCATGATTGTTGTGCTCCTTTTTTCCAACTTAAACAGGAGTAACTCTCATTTGTAGCTATTCATCGTTTCAATGAGATTCTGACCCAGAAAAACATAATGTATGTAGCTAATCTGCTATGCAGAACCAGACTCTATTTGAAGATAAATTTTTTAAGAAAGTTGTTCATAAAAGATAAAACTATTGACCTGAAAAGAAATTCTTATGGTAAACAACATTTTTCTGGACTCAGACTTCTGAAATGATAAAATTCCTTTAGAAGGGTGACATCAGTACAAGACAAAAAAATTACAGGCCAATATCCCTGATGAACATAGATGCAATAATTCTCAAAAAAATACTAGCAAATTGAACTTAACAGCATATTAAAAGGATCATACACTATGATCAAGTCGGATTTATCCCTAAGAGGCATGAGTGGTTCAACATACTTAAAACAATAAACATGATATGCCACATTAACAGAATGAGGGACAAAATCATCTCAATAGATGCAGAAAAAGCATTGGACAAAATTCAACATCCTTTCACGATAAAAACTCTCAACAAACTACATACAGAAGGAATGTACCTCAAAATAATAAAGGCCATATATGACAAGCCTAAAGCTAACTTCATACTCAACAGTGAAAAGCTGAAAGCTTTTCAGCTAGATCGGGAACAAGACAAGGATGCCTACTCTAACCACTTTTATTCAGTATAGTACTGGAAGTCTCAGCGAAAGCAATTTGACAAGGAAAATAAATAAAAGGCATCTATATCAGAAAGGAAGAAGTTAAATTGTCTCTATCTGCAGATGACATGATCTTATATAAAGACCTAAAGACTCCATCAAAAACTATTAGAATGAATTTTAAAAATTCAGTAAAGTAGCAGGATACAACTCAATATACAAAAATCAGTTTTGTTTCTATACATTAACAACAAACTATCTGAAAGAGAAATTAGGAAAATAATCCCATTTACAATAGAATCGAAAAGAATAAAATACTTAGCAGTAAATTTAACCAAAGAGGTAAAAGATCTGTACGCTGAAAACTTTAAAACACTGATGAAAAAAATTGAAGAGGACACAATTAAGTGGAAAGATATCCCATGGTCATGGATTAGAAAAATTAATATTGTTAAAATTTCTATACTACCCAAAATCATCTACTGGTTCAATGTAATCCTTATCATATTATAATGACATGTTTCACAGACATAGAACAAGAAATCCTAAATTCATACGGAACCACAAAAGACCCTGATTAGACAAGGCGATCTTGAGAAAGAAGAATGAAGCTGGAGGTATCACACTTTCTGATTTCAAACTATATTACAAAGTTATAGTAATCAAAACAGTGTGGTACTGGCATAAAAACAGACACATAGACCCATGGAACAGAATTGAGAGCCCAGAAATAAACTCTTGCATCTACGGTCAACTCTCTTTGACAAGGGTACAAAGAATATACTATGGAGAAAGGATTGTCTCTTCAATAAATGGTGTTGGGAAAACTTGATATTCACATGCAAAAGAATGTAATTTGATCCTTATCTTACACCATTCACAAAAATAACTTGAAGTGGATTAAAGACTTAAATGTAAAACCTCAAAAAGTAAAACTCCCAGTAGAAAATATAAGAGAAAAGCTCCTTGACATGGTCTTGGCAATGATTTTTTGATATGACAGCAAAAGTACAGGCAACTAGAGCAAAAATAAACAAATGGGACTACATCATATAAAAAGCTTCTGCACAGGAAAAGAAATGATCAATTTAATGAAAAGGCAACCTATGGAATGGGAGAAAATATTTGCAAACCATATATCTGAAAAGGGGTTAATATCCAAAATATATAGGGAACTCATACGACTCAATAGCAAATACTAATAACCACCAATAAAAAATGGGCAAAAGACCCAAATAAACATTTTTTCCAAAGAAGACATACAAATGGCCAACACATATATGAAAAAGTACTCAACATCACCAAACATCAGGGAACTGTGTATCAAAACCACAATGGGGGCCGGCCCACCAGCCCCGTGGTGCAGCAGTTAAGTTCACATGTTCCGCTTCTCTGAGGCCCAGGGTTCACCAGTTTGGATCCTGGGTGCAGACATGACACCGCTTGGCAAAAGCCATGCTGTGGTAGGCATCCCACGTATAAACTAGAGGAAGATGGTCCCACGTATAAAGAGAGGAAGAGGATGTTAGCTCAGGGCCAGTCTTCCTCAGCAAAAAGAGGAGGATTGGCAGTAGTTAGCTCAGAGCTAATCTTCCTCAGGAAAAAAAAAAACCCACAATGAGTTAACACCATACATCTGTTAGGATGGCTGTTATCAAAAAGACAAGAGAGAAGTATTGGCATGGATGTAGAAAAAAGGGATCCCTTGTACACCGTTGATGGGGATGTAAATTGGTACAGCCATTGTGGAAAACTGTATGGGCGTTCCTCAAAACATTAAAAATAGAACTACCATATGAAGCAGCAATCCCACTTCTAAGTACATGCCCAAAGGAAATAAAATGAGTATCTCAAAGAGATAAGTGCACTGCCAAGTTCATTGCAGCATTATTTCCAGTAGCCAAGTTATGGAAACAACCTACGTGTCCAATGGATGAATAGATAAAGAATATGTGGTGTATATACATATACAATGAAATATTATTCAGCCATAAAAAAGAAGGAAATCCTGCCATTTGCAACAACATGGATGAACTGAAAGGACATTATGCTAAGCAAAATAGGCCAGACACAAAAAGATACATTGTATACCTTAAAATATACAATTTTTATTTTTAATTATATCTCAATAACGCTGGAAAAATAAAGTTGTTTAAGAAGAAAAATATTCATTTAGGCACATCATCTATCTAAATAGCATATATCTTTTTTATAAATCTAACCTTTTAAAATATTTCCCAAATTGTGGGAATTTTCTCATACCTTTTCACCAAATTTCTAGAATTTCTGCTGTACTTCAACGAATACAGTTCCCATCTTCCCTACCCCAGCATTAGAACACTGCAAATTCAGAATAAGGAAAGAATTCTAACAAACATGCTTACCATTTAAAGTGGCCCCTTCTTAAGAAAACTAATATTCAATCCTAGGCCAATTTATGCTGGCTGTTCCTGCTACAGATCCCTTCCTATGAAATCCAGACATTTTATCCAGAGTTTTTTATTGATGAGATATAGCTTCATCGTTTTTGCTACTGCTCACACTGTCTTTGCTTCTCTCAGCCATTCTACCCCTATTGTGCAAATTCTCACTTTTACCCTTTTTTCACATTTGGACAAATTATAGCTAGTGGCACAGAAATTGCAATAGTGAAGCTTCTCGAAGAAAAAAAAGATGGAGGACGTTAGGAGTGTCTTCTCAACATCTTTTCTGAAATTCACCCTGCCCACCATGTCGGTCATACCTGTGACCTCTGGATGCTTCAGCAAGAGCAGGAGAGCATATCTTAGGGTGGTGCTCGTTGTCTCTGTCCCAGCTCCAAACAAATCGGATACAGCAGCTATCAAGTTTTCAAAAGTAAACTCCGACTGTTGATTGTGCTTTTCCTAGGAATGATTTGATGTAATTATTTGATAGTTTGCCGCCATATTTAATTAAATGAATCCAAAATAACTCATATGGTTATAAAGTTAAGCAAACTTAGACACTAGAGAGTGCAGTATTAAAACAACAACAACTGTATGGTATGACAGAGTGTGTGGATTGGTTGACCCAATCCTCATTTCCTACCTCCTTATCTCTTGCTTGCCTAAAAATTCCATTTCCCAACCTGTTTTGCAGCTACATTGGCCAAACAACATATTTCTTATCAATGACATACAAGCAGGATCCTGTTGATGCCACTATTTCTCTTTCCTTCTTCTTACTTACAACACAGATACAAACGAAGGATGAGATGGTATAGACATCATCTTGGAACATGAGTATTTGAGCATGAAGAAGAAGCTTACATAGTAGGTATGGTGAAGAAAATTGGAAGGCACCTGGCCCATGATACTTCAGGGCTACTGAACTGCCTGACATAAGACTCCTTGCATATGAGATAAATAAAACCACTATTTATTTAAATCATTGTTAACTGGGTTTCCTCTTGTTTGTAGGCAAACACAATCCCTGCTAGTATCTTTGCAGAAATTGACAAGATTATTCTGAAATTCATATGGAAATTTAAGTGATGAAGAATAGACAAAACAATCTTAGAAAAGAATAAAATTAGAGGATTCACACTTCCTAATACCAAAACTTACAACAAAGCTATAGTAATCAAAATTGTGTGGTACTGGCATAAAACAAGGTATCTAGATCAATGAAATAATAGAATTGAGAGTCTAAAAATAAATCATCACATTTAGAGTCAAATGATTTTCAACAAAGGCACCAAGACCATTCCACGCGGAAAAACATTCTTTTCAACAAATGGTGCTGGGACAATTGGATACCCATGTGCGAAGGATAAAATTGGGCCCATATCTCAAAATATCATCAAAAATTGATTTAAGGGGCCAGCCTGTTGTTGTAGTTGTTGGGTTTGCATGCTCTGCTTTGGTAGCTAGGGGTTTGTGGGTTCAGATAGGCATGGACCTATACATGGCTCTTCAAGCCATGCTGTGGTGGCATTCTACACGCAAAATAGAGGAAGATTGGCACAGATATTGGCTCAGCAACAATCTTCCTCAAGCAAAAAAGAAAGATTGGCAACAGATGTTACCTCAGGGCCAATCTTCCACACCAAACAATAAAATTGTTTTAAAAGCAATCATAGGGGCTGGCCAAGTAGTGCAGCAGTTAAGTGAGCATATTCCACTTCGGTGGCCCAGGGTTCACCAGTTCGGATCCCAGGTGCAGACATGGCACCTCTTGGCAAAGCCATGTTGCGGTAAGCGTCCACATATAAAGTAGGCGAAGATGGGCACGGATGTAAGCTCAGAGCCAGTCTTCCTCAGCAAAAAGGGGAGGATTGGCAGCGGTTAGCTCAGGGCTAATCTTCCTCAAAAAGAAAAAAAAGGTAAAAAAAATAAATAAATAAAAGCAATCATAGACCTAAATGTAATAGCTAAAACTATAAAACTCTTAGAAGAAAATTTGGGGTGAATATGTGCGAGTTTGGATTAGATAATAACTTCTTGGATATGACACCAAAAGCACAAGAAACCATAAAGAAAATAAATTGAATTTCACAAAATTAAAAACTTTTGTATTTCAAAAGACATTACCAAGAAAGGGAAAGGACAACCCACAAAACGGGAGAAAATATCTACAAATCGTATGTCTGATAAGGGATTGTATCTATAATACACCAGAACTCTTCCATCTCAGTAATTCAAAAATAATAATAGCTAAAATCAAAAATGGGCAAAGAATTGAAATAGACATTTATCCAAAAAAATGTAGAAATGGCCAATAAGCACACAAAAGAAGCTAAACATCATTAGCCATCAGGAAAATGCAAATCAAAAGCACAATAAAAGACCACTTCACACCTATTAGGATGGCTAGAATCAAAAAGACGGACAATAAGAAGCATCAGGAAGGATGTGGAGAAATTGTAACCCTCATACCCTGCTGGTGAGAACGTAAAATGCTGCAGCCACTTTCACGTCTAGGTTCTCCTCTGAGAGTTTTATATTTTTAGCTCTTACGATTAGGTCTTTGATCCAGCTATCCTTCCTCCAAAAGTTCGATATAAAGCTACCACATGACCCAGCAATTCCACCACCAAGTATATACCTGAGATTAATTAAAACATATATCCACACAAAAACCTGTACACAAACGTCCATAGCAACATTATTCATACTGGCCAAAAAACAAAAACAACCAAAATGTCCATCAACCAATGAATGGATATATAAAATGTGATTTATCCACACTGGAATATCATTCAACCATATAAAGGAATGAAGTACTGATATATGCTACAACATCAATGAACCTTGAAAACACGTTACATGAATGAAGCTAGATGCCAAAGACTACATATTGCATAATGCCATTAATATGAAACGTCCAGATTAGCACATATATAGAGACAGAAAGTAGACTAACGTTGTCTAGAACTGGGAGGTTTGGGGGGCAATGGGGGTGACTGCTAAAGAACAGAAGGGTTTCTTTTCCTGGTGATGAAAATGTTTAGAAATTGTGGTGGTGATTGCCCAACTCTGTGAAAATACTCAACTATTGAACTGTACTTACAATATGTGAAGGGTATGGTATGTGAATTACACTCAATAAAGATGTTACCCAAAAAAATTAACTAGAGGGCCGCCCCCGTGGCCGAGTGGTTAAGTTCACGCGATCTGCTTCAGGGGCCCAGGGTTTTGCCGATTCGGATCCTGGGCACTGTTCATCAGGCCATGCTGAGGTGGCATCCCACATGCCACAACTAGAAGGACCCACAACTAAAAATACGCAACTATGTACCGGGGGGCGTTGGGGAGAAAAAAGAAAAATAAAATCTTAAAAAAAAAATTAACTAGACTCTAAATACTATAGTGAAGTCCAGAGGAACAATGCAGTTTTTAAGTATAGTATTTAGGAAATACCCACTGTTAATTGAAATACCAGAGAACTTAGAGCCCTGCTTAGCCCATGATTAATGGAGAAGCTTTATAACATCGAGATAATTCCTCGAAATATGTGCAAAATACCCAAGAACTTGTATAGGTGAATTCTCCTGAAAAAAGTCCATACTTTTAATAAGATTTGCAAATCAATTAGACCCCAGAACGATAAAAATTATTGCCCTAGCAGCAGAGTAGGCAGAGAGTAAAAGTAATTTGTTTCTTCCCTCCTCCAGTTTCTTCAAACCATTCCATCTTCTTCACTTCATTCCAACTAGAACATATGATTTGGGCACTCCAGTACAAATCCAGGGACAATTCTTTGAAAGTCACCTTCATCAGCATCTTTGACTTCTTGCCATTTTAGCCTGCTAACTGATTTTTCATTTCTGCCCAGTGTTACAAAGTGGTTGAATAAAATACTGGTGGCCTCAGATGAAGGAATTTCCTTCTCTAAAGTTAGATCTTCTCAGAATGTTCTGGATTCTGTCTCTCTCCAGTTCAAGGAGGACTTTGTACCTACACAAGTGTCCTTATGGCATGTATGTTACTCTTGTAATAAAATTTCCGACTTGACCTTACCACTATTCTAATTCACTCTTCAAATTCACTAACTGAATCTTTCCCTCCTTGATAAAATATTCTTGATAGAATATCCCCTCAGATAGAATATCTGGTCTTATTTTTGAAATTTCCCATACAGTCCCTACAATTTGGCTCTCATCCTCTCCTCTAACTAAAACCAATCTCTATAAATCTCTGAGAATCTGATAAGATGGACAACTTGATTTTATTTCAGAATCCTTTGCATTTCCATGGTCTAGAGTTTCATCACGCCACAGTTCAAAGAAATGAAAAATCTCTCAGCTGGTCCTTGAGCTCCACTCTCATCATACAGTTCATCTTACAGAACTCCCAGGATAATTTTCCTAATAATTATTTGCATTCCACTCTTGTTGTGGCTCATACACACACTTGATCAAATCAAAGCTTTCATGTCAACCTTCAGGTTTACAGTTACTTGACAGACACCAACCCCTAACTCCATATCTGTCCAAATTCATTTTTGATTACCTTCAGTTAAGGCTTCTCTCTTCCATCCATCTAATCTGTTTGCCACCACATACCTCTGAACCTCTCATTACACCATTCTTCCTAGCTGAAATTCCCTCCTCTGTTCCTTATTGCAAATATTTGAAAATATATATTAAACCTGTGGACATGCAGGAAGCCCACCTAGGATAAACTCTTCCTTCTCACTCTCCCACAGGCTGTATGACCCAATCACATCAACCTTCACTTTATGGCTCAATATGTTATATTTTCCAACTTGTCTGCATTTCCATTTCACCTGAGGTGTACATTCTCTTTTCCCTCAGGTAGATTATTAGTACCTAACAAACAGGGTCCATGTATTCTAGTTATTTAACAATACAATCTTAAATCTTCCATGATGTTCAGCCGAGATCTATGCACACGATAGGTACCTAAAGTACTTCTCAAGCATTTCTTGACTGACCATTTAAACATTCCTACCAAGTACAGAACTAATCAATGAACAAAAAAATGCAGGCAAACAAATAACCAATCTGTCATTAACATTTTACCTGTTCCATTTTGATCAGGAAACAATCAATGAAGTCCCGAGGATTGTCAATGTCCAGGGATTCTTGGTGTTCTTTTGTTTTCTCCAAAACGTAACTTTTCAAATAATCAAAATTTTTAAGCATTTTGTTATGACTCCCTGGGAGATAATCAATGAGAGCAGGGAGATTATTGCAGACCTTAAAGATTAAAAAAATATTAAATTAAAAATTGAAGACATATATACCATATTCCAAACCCTGGTTAAAAACCAAGGTGAATAAAAAATGGTCTTTATCCTCTGGAAGATTTTACATTGTACATATAAAATAATCCTTTATGCTGATAAAGATATTTAAGGGAGAAAACTCTGCCCCGAAGATGAAAGATGATGATAATTTCCTACACTCATTCATCAACCTTATAATATTAAAGCATCTTTATGTCAATTCTCACATTCATTTACAATAATTCTTCCCTACAACCTTGAAATATAGATTGGCATGAATTACTATGATTCACATTTTATAGATGAAGACAGAGGGCAAGGGAGCTTGGGCAACCCGACATAAAGCACAAAGCCACTCCCTGCTATTTCTACTGCTATCAGGTAAGCTCAGAAATAGAATCATTATTTCATAATCGGGAGGGGTGCAAAAATGCCATGAAATTCAATTTAGCATTTTGTGAATAAAGCACCTCTGCACCAGAGCAGGTAAGTGACTTCTTTAAGATCATGTAATTTTATTTAGGCAGAGTGCAGGATGTACCAGCTCAGCACACAGGGCAAAATTGTCATGTTCATTTATGATTCATACACCAAGAAACCAATCATTTTGTCACCCCAAGCCCAATTACCTTGTCAGCTAGGACCCCAGCTGAAGCCTCCAACACCCCCTACCCTAGTCAGCATTCCCTAGAAGCATCTGTGGTCCCAAACATTCTCCATCCTCAAAGGAGATGTTCTCTTCCTTCCTGAATTTGGATATTTTTGCCAAGGAATGTGAGGAAGAGCTCAGTAATTGCGATTGGAGGACAATCCTGTGGACAATGAAAACCTTTCAGGGAAAGACTGGATGTTCATTCAGTGCTATGGCCATGCTTTGGGGCTGTCACCAGAGTAGTTTATGGAAACTGGGCTTTGGGGTTTAGTGGGAAAATGACTGGCCAGGAGCCAAAGATCGTGAATTCTAGCTCTATATTCAAGGATTTGTTTTCCTGTGTGTAAAATAAAGGGCTTGGCCATCTTTCCCAGATGTTCCCTCCATAACATTAAGCTCTGAGCAGGTCGATGGCTTTCAAACATTCACTTCACAGAAAACATTAGCAAAAATGGCACAGTAGACAGCTCCAAAAGCCCATTCTTCCATAAAAACGTCAAAAAATCATGCAAGAAGTGTCCGAATCAACTTGTCAGAGCTCTATAAAACAAAAGCTTATAGCAATCAAGTGAATTCTGAACCAAGAAAATAGGAACTTAAAAGTGGTGGGAAAGCTTGGTTGTATTTTTTATTTGTCCTTGTGCCACCTCCCTCCTCAGCTTGGCAGTGGTCTGAACAAGGGTAGTTTCTTGTGTGGAACCCTGGTTCCTGGTTTCAGAGGGACCAGAGTAGACCTCACTTGCAAAGAATTGTGTTTCTCTGTTCTAACCTGTCTTGGGCAACCTGAAGGACTGACACATGCACTTGTCTTTGTTTCATCTAACTTAGAACTCAGAGTGGAAAGCAGCAGACATGACTCATAAACCTGGCAAAGTGAATGAACAACCCACAGCCACATGGGGCAAAAGTTAAGGCACACAATAGAGCACCAAAACCCTGGGAAGAAAAGCTGAGAAGAAAGCATCTTCAGTTCTTAGGGCATTCAAAAGCACCCATGTATACGGAGGAATGAAGAAAGTTATGTACATGCCCAGGGCAGGATACAGGCTAAGAAAAGACCTGAGAAGACTTTAAGCTTTCACCTCTGACTGATCCCTAGGCTCAGTGCAAGCAAGAAGTGAAGATTAAGACACAGTTGAAAAAGGCCTGGCTAAGAGTTGAAGGAGTGCCCCTGCTCCGAGCCAATCTGCAAGTTATTCTCCTCCCTTTCTCCCTCCCTCCCTTCCTTCCTTACTTCCTTCCTCCCTTTCTTCCTTTCTTCTTTCTTTCCTTCCTCTTCTTTTCTTTCTTTCTCACTCTATCCCTCTCTCCATCTCTTTCTCTCTATCTCTTCTTTTTGGCTCTTCACATTCAAGGAAATCTCTGTCAAAACACCAGCTGAACACAAGCTAAAGGAACAGATATTTCAGAGACCACACATGACAAAAAAAAGACGCTGCAAAAACAGTTTAGAAAAGTCACTAAATAAACAGCTACAGCCTACAGAAGGCAAAAAAAAAAAAAAAAAAAAGAATCAAAAAAAGCTATAGAAGCAAAAAAAAAAAAAAAAAAAGGAGGAGGGAGAATCTGATTTCCAGAGTTGCCACATTATAGTATCCAGAATGTCCAGTTATCAAACATTCGCTTCCCAGCTTTGTCCACAAAGAATGTTGGACTTGTCAGAGAGAAGAGCATACATGATTTCTCAGGAAAAGAAGACTTTACCTCACCTGTATCCATGGAGAGCTCATAATCCTGAGGTTTTCATTAAATTTTTCCAGCAAGTTAAGAAAAGTCTGATCTGTATAATCAAAACGATTCTGGAAAATAATGGAGCAGATCACATTGCAGGGAGCACAGCCCAGGATAAAAGTGGGGTCACAGGGTGAAGCTAAAGAATTGGAAAGATTTATAAAATACCATTAACATATACATATAAAACTTTGTTGTTGATAACAAGTAATTTTAGTATCTCTAAAGCAATATCTACCTAGAAATTCCCTTATCAGCAAAAATTTCAACATGCTGGGACCGGCCTGGTGGTGTAGTGGTTAAGTTTGCACGCTCTGCTTTGGCGGCTGGGGGTTCACAGGTTCAGATCCCAGGCACGGACCTACACACTGCTCATCAAGCCATGCTGTGGCAGCATCCCCCATACAAAGCAGAAGAATTGTGGCACAGAGGTTAGCTCAGTGACAGCCTTCCTCAAGCAAAAAGAGGAAGATTGGCAATGGATGTTAGCTCAGGGCCGATCTTCCGCACACACACACATACAAAATCAGCATGCTTAATATCAACATATCACTTTTCCCTTAAATGTGAATTGACCATTCCATCCTAGTTTATTTAACAGTGGTTTTCCAAGTACTCCATTTCATCACTGCTTTGGTTTAGTCAATTCTGACCCAAGGTGCCTGTTATTTTGAAGAGTAAAAGAAAAAATTTTTAAGGCTTCATTTTAAAACACTTAATAATACAGTTTATCAGTGCAGAATCACATCCATCTAGTAAGCTTATAGACAATTAAACGTTGATATAGGAAGGAAGAAAATAGTTTGGGACATGGAAAATCTTTTACATACAATGAATAGTTGAAAGAACTTCACGTAGAATCAGCAGAGGGAAAGGTTAAAGAGAGAACGATTATGGGAAAAAATCAAGTTTTTGATAGAAAAAATGTAAAGAAAGCAAAAGGCACTCATGTTGTATCAGAAGAAAAATTAACACAAACGAATAAGAACATAGATTTGTTTGCATAAAATAAAAGGAAAATAAAAAAACTTCATTACAAACTGAAATCACAGACAAAGCAAACAAAAAGTTTAAATTGATAAATGGAGTCCTTTTATAGCAATAAAACGAATTTCCTGCTCCAGGAAAGCGTCCATCCCGACCAATCAGGCCCACATTTAATTTACCTGGACAGAGCCTGCTCTCTTGTGGAATTCTGGGACATTGCTACATATAGCCACCAACAGAATGCAATATGTTATTATACATTTTTTAATTGGACCATCATTTGCGTCAATTCCATCACTTTAAAGATAGATAAATTAAAGCAGAGGAACATTTTTCCTTTTTAGTGGGCAATATTTAAATGAAATTGTTATATCCAAATGATCAATAATCTTTACATGAAAAAAAAATCCCAAATTCACATTATAGACGTAATTAAGAGTGACTTGAATCAAAAATGTTGTGAAGAAATGATAAGAAATTAAATAATAGGAAATCTGTCTAGTTAACTGCTTCTATGCCAAGCTCCTTTCAGCTGAAACACGCCAGGATACTAAGCTTTCAGAAAACCTTTTATTTTAGAAGGTAGGGGATAATTCGGAAAGGCCTTGAGATTTCTTTGTGTGTGTGTGATTCACAGCTAAAATCTCATTTTTTTAATCCTTCCTTTCACTTCATTTGAGAGAGAGAATTAAAAAGCAGGGTAATTTGGAATCCATGCTAAAGATCAGACTCATTGTGGCAAGCACTTCATAGATCAGTAGAGCTGGCATTGGGGGGTAAGTAATCACCATAAAAGTTCTAACCCAATGTCCAATTGTTTTAAAATGCACTTGGGATTTTGTTTTTATTCAGATGGTGAGGCCAACAGATCAGGAAAGGATAACCATTGTAAAGATACTTTGTTACTCACAGTGCCCAAGAGGAGGGGGCACACTTCACAGGGCCACATGGGCAAGCACCAAGGTTGGTCAAGAAGCAGAAGGAATGAGGGGAAAGCATGGTCCTGAGCCTTTATTGGGGTTTCCATGGGAAAGGAATGAGCAAGGCAGAGTAGGTATGCTGAGTAAATTTAAGATTGGATAGTGTGAATAATTTCAGGGGCTTTGGGCTGTGAGGGTGGTCCTTAGTTGTCAAGTACGTGGCCCTGGGTTGATTTAGGGCAGGGAGAATATTGGCTTGGTGTGTGAGTGTTTGATAAAGGAAACAGCTGGGGGTATGGGCTTTGGATAGGTTGGTTTGCAATTCAAAGCCATGCCCACAGACAAGGTATTTGCTCTATCTAATAATTAGCTAACCCTGGGAGGGGGTAGTTGCTCCCTGGTCTGCAAGGCCCAGGTCAAAGATGTCAAAGCACTATAAAATAGAGAAAATAGGAAACATGATTGAGATATCAATAAAAGGGAAGAGAAATATAAGGAAAGTTGAAAACAGAGCCAACTAATGGGGAAGGCAGGATAAAGAGTTATTAATGATAGTTTAAGTCTGGTTAAATAAACCATTTTATTATCTGGTATTTGTGTAATTTTCAGAATTATGCTATAGCACATATTTCTTAAAATATATAAAACAATACAGTAAGTAGGGAGCAATATTAAATAACTCAAGCTGATAGTTTAAAAATAGTTGTTTACAGATATATATCCCTATGTTCATTGTAGCACTATTCACAATATCCAAGACATGGAAACAATCCAAGTGCCCATCGACCGATGATTGGATAAAAACGATGTGGTATATATATATACACAATGGAATACTACTCAGCCGTAAAAAAAGACAAAATCATCCCATTTGCAACAACATGGATGGACCTGGAGGATATTATGCTAAGCGAAATAAGCCAGACTGAGAAAGACAAACACCGTATGATTTCACTTATGTGCAGAATATAAACAAACACATGCACAAGAAAATAGTTCAGTGGTTACCAGGGGAAGGGGGCTGGAGGGTGGGCACAGGGCGTGAAGGGGACACTTATGTGGTGACAGGCAAGAAATAATGTACAACTGAAATTTCACAATGATGTAAACTACTATGAATCTCAATTAAAAAAATAAAATAAAATTGGGGGCCGGCATGGTGGCACAGCCCTGTGTCCACACGTTCCGCTTCTCGCGGCCCTGGCTTTGCCGGTTCGGATCCCAGGTGCAGACATGCCACTGCTTGGCAAAAGCCATGCTGTGGTAGGTGTCCCACATATAAAGCAGAGGAAGATGGGCACGGATGTTAGCTCAGGGCCAGTCTTCCTCAGCAAAAAGAGGAGGATTGGCAGTAGTTAGCTCAGGGCTAATCTTCCTCAAAAAAAAAAGAAAAGAAAAGAAACAATTTACAGTAAAATCACAGTTGAGGACAGCTGCACTAGGGGGTGCAATCAAAAAATTAAGCAATTAAAACAATAAATAACAAAATATAAATAACAAAACTGTATGCATGGGCCTTGGAAGAAACCCTCAGATATGTCAGTGAAGTTGACCATACAAATATAGGCCAATTAAGTGAAAGCACATGTTACTTATGTCATGCTGCATAAGGATGTGATGAGATCATCCCCACCATGTTCACTTGACAAGTGTTCCCTGATGAAATATTCTGGAATAGGTAACCCACATTTATGCTATAGGAAAAACATTGCTCTCTAACTCTTTCAGAAAATGACTAAAACTATTCTTCACGATTTCTAATTTGAAAACATTGTGCAGGAAAGACTAATATTAAATGATCTTTTATACCCACTGTACGCACAATCATGAGTGTACACACACAACGAGCATAGATACATAAAAGTTCCCTTGGCTCTCTGCTTCAAACCCTCCCTCCTCCACATGAGGGCTGGTCACCATTACCCATATGAAAGATTTGGCCACCCCTAAAATACTTTCAAGGAGGTTATTAGAGAAGAGGTCAGCTTTAAGGTCAGTGATACACAGCACAGAATCACCCACCATTGGTTTTTCTCAACTCCTCCACAAGGCAGCGGGCTTCCTCTTGAACTCGGTCCTCAATGCTCCTCTTCCCCATCCCAAAGTTCCGCAGAGTCATGAGGGAGAAACGACGGATCTCCTTCCACCTCTTTCCATTGCTGAAAAGGATTCCTACCAGGAGGGGAAACAGAAACTAGGAGGGATGTCCTAGGCAAGAAGGACGAAGCTGATATTTGCCAGCATCAGGTTTGGGCAAACTCTACTGAGGAGATCTTTAAATTCCTGTTTTCCATCCTTCCCACTTCCATTACCAATGCTGAACAACTGCACACACACACACCTACCATGTCCTTTATTAACTCTTTCAGCCACTGGGAAACTGCCTCTTCCAGAAAACTCCTCTCCCAGATCAATCAGGGCTTCCTTCACTGCTTCATATCCATGCAGCACCACAGTGGGCTTCAAGCCCAAATACAGAGTGAACACAGGGCCATAGAGTTTTGAGAGCTGGGAAATGGAAAGGAAATGCAAATATTAGCAAAAGAAGTCTCAATTTTATCTATATTTTGTGCGTGATTAAGACTGTAATTATCATCATATTGTTGATATTTTTATTCTGCCAAACATAACTTCAAACATTTCTGGATCTTATACAGCCATGTGTCGCATAATGATGGGGATAAATTCTGAGAAATGCATTGTTAGGCGATTTTGTCGTTGTATGACCATCATAGAGTGTTCTTACACAAACCTAAATGGTTTAGCCTACTACATACCTAGGCTATATGGTCCTAATCTTAGGGGACCACTATGGTACATGCAGTCTGTCATTGACTGAAATGTTAAGTGGCACATGATGTAAATATGGTGGAGATTGTTATAGCTGACACATACAGAGGGACTCTGATGTGCTAGGCAATGGCCCAGGTAATTGGTACTCAGATCATTACAAGTAATCAAGTCAACAGCTTTATTTTCCTGTTTTACAGATAAAGAGACTGAGGTTCAAATAATTTCCTATTTATTTCCAGAGTATCACAGCTGATAAATAGAAGACCCAAATGTCAACCCTGCTTAGTTGAACCCTGATGTCTAAGCAATTTATCAGTCCCCAATGCCCACTTTGGAGCTAGTCCCCAGCTGACTACTTCAGGATCACCTGTAAAGCTCATTCCATGAGGATTCTGACTCAGTAGTGATGAATGCTAGAAATCTATACTTTTAAGAATCACCCCAGAAAATTCTAATGCCCACCTCAGTTTGTGATCTGCTGGTATTACTAACTCAGAGAGTGAGCATCACAGGAGCAGGGCCAGGAGATGCAGCATCTCACAGAAGAACGATGTCTTCCACCCTGCAGCATTCGTAGGGTACAGAGAGCAGCTTTGTGCAGAATCCAAAAGGATTCTGTAACCACCCAGCTAGTTCTAAATAATTAGTTTTTTCTTTTGTTCTCTCCTGAGGGTCCTGATCTTAAGCTATGTCCTTGACATCAGGCATCACTGGTTTCTTCGGAGAAGTTCAATTTTCATGGCTATTCTGAATAAAATGCACTGTTTATATAGTAGAGGACTTTTTAAATGAAGTCTCCATTCGCAAATCACTTCCCGTATCATTTACTTTCAGGCAAAAATCATAGCAAATGGTGGTGAAACAAAGAAAGGAAGGAACAATCTCATCTTTTGCCATTTTATTATTTTGATTCTACCATTTATAAAGACCTAAGTGTTTCTCTACTTGCAAAATGCATTAGTTATTCCAGTGTCCTTGACAATGACAGGCCAAAACAATAGTCCACAGGGAGCAGTTACTTTACAATGACACATGTTAATAGTTTTATCTTAACTTATTTTAATATATTTCATTTAAAAGTAGAGGTTAATTTACTTACCCTTTGCAAGCCAGTGGAGGAACATAAAACATACTTACATTGCTTAAGGATTTGCTGATGTCCTTAACATCTAACTGTAGGATATTTCCAATAATAGGGAGAGGAGTGGGGCCAGGTGGGAGCTTCCCTTTCCTGGAGCTCTGGTTCCAGAGTGAAAGGAGAAACCAACAGGAGAGACAGAGCCCCAGGAACACAACCAGATCCATTGTCTCTTCTTACTTAGACAACTGTGAGCCTGAAATCCAAGCTTTTATAACAGTCCCTGCTAATTCAACATGTGCCTCTTTGACTCATAAAGTGACTAATCAGCTAGGTCTACTTTAATCTCTCTTTTGAAGGGACTTTGGTTCTTTACTTTTGCTCTCCTTCTTTCCAGTGCCCCACCCCGGAGCTTCTGGTTTAACAGGTCTGGGGTGGAGCTCTGTTACTGGTAACTTTTCTTTTAATATCCCAGGTGGTTGAGAACCAGTGAAATAAATGATTTGATTAAAAAAATTCCTCAATATTCTGGATTCTCAGATTAATGACCAGTTGAGAATTTACGACTTTGGGGGAAATCCTTGTATATTAATAAAAAAGCTTATTCTTTAATGTTTATCAAACACTACTGTGAAAGATGACATGAGTGGAGCCATATTAAAATAGAGCCAGAGGAGCCATTTCACAGGAATTGCCTTGTACATCTTGTTCTCTTTATCTTCCAAACTGCACCAAACCACCAACATTCCAGGAAGTCAGTAAGGACAAGAATATCCTGTCTGCAGGAGCCAAGAACATACAAAGGAGAAAGCAAAGTCCCTTCCATAAATGATGTTTGGAAAACTGGACAGCCACGTGCAAAAGAATGAAAGTAGACCATTATCTTACGCCATACACGAAAATCACCTCAAAATGAATTAAAGACTTGAATGGAAGACCTGCAACCATAAAATTTCTAGAAGAAAACATAGCAAGTACACTCTTTGACATCAGTCTTAGCAGTACCTTTTTGAATGCCATGTCTACTCAGGCAAGGGAAACAAAAGAAAAAACAAATAAATGGGACTACATCACACTAAAAAGTTTCTGCACAGAGAAGGAAACCATCAACAAAATGAAAAGACAACCCACCAACTGGGAGAAAATATTTGCAAATCATCTATCAGATAAAGGGTTAATTTCTAAAATATATAAAGAGCTCATACAACTCAACAACAACAAAAAGAAGAACCCAATGAAAAAATTGGCAGAGGCTAGGAGAAGACATTTTCCCAAAGAAGATATACAGAGGGTCAACAGACCCATGAAAGGATGTTCAACATCACTAATTATTAGGGAAATATAAGTCAAAACTACAATGAGATATCTCCTCACACCCATCAGAATGGCTATGATTAAAAAGACAAGAAATAACAAGTGTTGGAGAGGATGTCGAGAAAAGAGAACCCTCCTACTCTGCTGATCGGAGTACAAACTGGTGTAGCTACTATGGAAAATAGTATAGAGATTACTCAAGAAGTTAAAAATAGAAATACCATATGATCCAGCTATTCCACTTCTGGGTATTTATCTGAAGAACATGAGAACACTAATTCCAAATGATATATGCACCCCTATGTTTATTGCAGCATTATTCACAATAGCCAAGAGTTGGAAGCAACTCAAGTGACCATCAACAGATGAATGGATAAAGAAGATGTGGTACATATATACAATGGAATACCACTCAGCCAGAAAAAAAAAGATGAAATCATGCCATTTGAGACAAAATAGATGGACTTTGAGGGTATTACGTTAAGCAAAATAAGTCAGGCAGAGAAAGACAAATGCCATATGTTTTCACTCATACGTGGAAGATAAACACATAGATAAGGAGAACAGATTGGTGGTCACCAGAGGGGAAGGGAGTGGAGGGAGGGAAAAAGGGGTAAAGGGGCACATATGTAGCATGATAGATGGAAATTGGACTTTTGGTAGTGAATACAATGCAGGCTATAAAGAAGCCAGAATACAATGATATAAGCCTGAGACTTACACGGTGTTATAAACCAACGTTACCTCAATAAAATAGTAAAAAAAGAATATCCTGTCTGTAAGAACTGATGGAACCGGACTTTCCTGATGGCCAGATCGCTAACCAATGAATGAAGTACAAATCTAACGTTTTGCCTGATGCTCAAACCTCAAGCCAATCTCTGAAGCACAAACCTACCTTTACCTTATCTAGGACCAGTGACTCCTCTTTAATACAACTCACCTCATCCTCCCTTTTTCCCATAAAAACCTTAAGCCCATCTCCTATAATTGGAACACTATTTGGGTTTCTACCTGAATCTGTGCTCCCCAAATTGGAATTCTTTGATCCCAAATAAACGTTTTGCTTCTTAAACTAGTTTCTGTTTTTGTAGGTTGACATACAGTGTCAGAAAGCGGGACCTGAAGTCTTCTCACCTTGAAGGACCAACATCCTCTGGAAGCAGGTTTGGTAACATGAGCCCCATCGTGTGCTCAGCCATTTCCATGAACAACCAATTCCTTAGACCATGAGACCTCTCAGGCTCAGACCTCCCTCCCATTACTGAGGTCAGTGTCTTTCTTTGGGATTGGTGCAGTGGCTTTCATCATTGCAGGAGAGATTTCTCTCAAGGAGGGGACTCCCTGATGTAGCTTTTGCTGCAGGAGAGGATTCCCTCCGTAGATATGTTAGTACTTTGAACTTTGGAAGGGATTCCCTCCATTAAAATTTCTGCTTAGACAAACTTTGCTATGGGTTAATATGCACATGAGGCTAAAGCTATTGCTAAGGGATATCTTGGAAGCCAAAGCCACAAAATTGGTGGGCATGGATCAAGCAATTAAGAGCCATTAGGGCTCTCACCACCTCAAGAAGTCTCCCGTGAGAGGATAAGTTGGTCACAGAATGGGTCAGATTGATGCCTAGGTCACCCACCAACCTCAAGGAAACTTCCAGGCAATGAGGTACACTGTAAAAACACCACACAATCCCCAACCCTGGGGCACATCCCTCTGAGGTATGAGTTTGGCTCCAAGAGACCCAAGGCTTAGCTAACTCTGTTACTGTGTATATAAAAAACCCTATTGTCCTCATAAGTTGCACACTTTTCTTTACCATGGGACTTATTTTCCAAGAAGATCCTCCCTCGGGAACTCCAGCTGGTTTTACATTGAAGAACTATTGTCTTTCCTCTTGTACATTTTTGTCCTAGTGGATCAATAATACTAAAGATGATTTAAAATCAGAGTGGCCACTTTGGGGTTCTTTTAGGCATCCAAAATTTGTCTTTTTGCACACTAGACTTGAGAACCGCAGACCAGAAAAATTAAATGCAATCTTTAATTTCTAAAGAGTCAAGTGCACCACCTTCTGGCACACCTGCTCAAAACTGTGGTCTCAGAAGCTGTAAATCTTTACAAAGAACAGCAAAATCTTCCTAAGCTTATTTCATGTCCTGAGAGGTTGGCTTGGTAACCATCACCCTGGGGACCCCAGGTGGTCAGATATGGCTGGACAGAAGTGTGGGTTGAACTCCATTTACAGCTAGGGTCCTACCAAACTGCTGCCAGCCTCAGGGGAACTCCATTGGCCATTAGAAAAAACATTCCAATTAGATAAGATCACTTAAGAAGTGCACTTAAAGGCAAAGACTTCACAATTCCAAAATAGCCTCATTAAAAGTTTCATTGCAAAGGCTAATGAAAAATTAAGAGATAAGAGTTACCTAAAAGAAAAGACTATACAGAAGTCTGTTAAGTTAATGGCTTTACTGACACTCCCATATCTACCTTCAAAGGAGGACCCCATATGAGACCCACCCAGACTTAATGAGACTCTGAAAGATTTTCTGGTAAACTGCTACATTATTCCCTTAAACAGTCAAGGGGAAACTAAAATGAAAATTAATGGAACCCACCACACCTTGAACTTGGATATCCAGCCTCCAGAACTGTGAGGAATACGTTCTATTGTTTAAGCCAGGCAGGCTGTGGTATTCTGTTACAGAAGGCCAGTAGACATTAATACAGCCTATTGCACCCATTTCTGTAATTGTGCGAATTTAATAAAATATTATATAAAATGAAAAAAAATTAATGGAGTTGTTTAATACTGCCAGAAATATTCGCTGTTTGTCCCAGCTGAAATCTGATAAGATATTTGAAAAGATTCAGTAATTTATGTTCAGAAATTTGGCCAAATTGGAAGCTGATATTCAGAGCCTGATATGAATTTTTTATAGGCCGTCTTCCCTAAGTTAGAATAAAACTATGTACCGAGAGGGGAAAAAAGCAAATTAGGGATAATGTAGTTGGATGGGTTGATCAATCTATGATAACATTTGAGTTACATCTGAAATTCTGAGGAATTAAAAGCAACTGTCCTTATCTTACAAACCTTTTCAAAACTGGAAATGCAGCTCTACAGGCAGTTCAGATTCCACCCAGAACTTTCACCAGTTCCAAAAACCTCCCTCATTTATCTCAAAAGGCTTATAACCTCTCTGTGAACTGTTATCTAGATCATCATCAACTCCTAAGACTGAAGGAAAAAAAAGAAAGAAAAAGAGCCAAACGGCTATAGAAGCCCCCCTGCCCAAAATCCAGCATCTTAAGTGTCTTCTCCACAAACATTAGTAGAAAAAAAGCTTTAGTCGTCTAAGCACGTAACCTTAATTTATTCCATCTTCAGAAACAAAATTTGGATTCAATTATTCTTTAATAAGTAGTGAGCTTTGTATTACTGTACCTGATTCATGGCAGTAATTTTTAAACAACACCTTTGGGGTCTCTATGTATGTGTGTCTATATGTATGGTGTATATATATGTGATATTTTTCTACCTCCAGATGGTATCATTTCTAAAAGAGCTCTATTTACTTAGCTTAAAATAAACACTTATATAAATTATTTCTGATTATAATAGAAACTAACTCAAATGAATTTCAGAATCACATGACATAGGAAAATATTGAGTATTAAAGCTAACTTAAGTTTGTCATCTTTAGAGTTGCCAATATTAAATAAAAAACTTTTGTTCTACCTAGGTTTACTAAAGGTCAAACAAATTTATGTTATCTCTGTTACAAAATTTGCCACCAACAAAGTTGATTGCTGACCTTGTCTAATGTCTCATGAAGTTTTTCTAGGTAATCTAAATATAATTATTGGGAACTAAGTAACTAAGTAGATGTAAGTAAGATTAAAGGGTTTTTCGGTGGAATTTTTAACAATAATTATGTGTTATGGTATATGTACTTAAAAATATCTTCAAAATCTTTCGGTAACTTGAAAACTTAGAGTTTTGTTAAATTAAGTTAAATGATAGAAATTTGAGTATCTAGAACATTTCCAAATAAGACAAAATATTAGACATTAATTACTAAACATAGGTTTATCTATTTTTGGCTTCTCATTACAGAAAAAGTTAAAATTTTAGGATTTACTAATAAACATGTCTTGGGCCATGCAGAGAAATTTTCTGTGAGAAACACGTTTCTAGAAAGTATTTATAAGTCTGCCAATCCACAGAATGCTAACGTAAAAGACAATTCATAATTGCTTACTTCTTAGTTTTCACTAAAACTTAAGGCTTCTAAGCGTTAAGAATTCTAACTAACATATGTGATTAAAGCTACTAAAAATTAATAATGGAAACATTTCTGTACATAAGGAAAGTAAGATGTGTGTTTTCAGTAAAAGAAGGTATAAGGAATGGATGTTTTTGTTAAGAAAGTAACTTTGTTCAAAAG